AAGGATGGACTTAAGGGGAACGAAAGGAACACTTGTGCCCTCACAGCAATAGCAATCGCAACAGCAGCAGCGATCTGCTCTTGCTCTACTCACGAAGCTTCTCGCTCGTAAACCATTCTTTACGTTGATCGAAGATTGATATCTTTGACAAGAGGAAAATTCTCTATTCTATTGAGGAAAATCCTCCCTCCTAATCTGTATAAATAGGAGAGGGACATGTTAATGTATTTAAGCTTTTTCACTTTCTCAATAAAACTTCTTCAATAATTATTCTTATCTTCTATTATTTTCATTAAATACTAATCCATCAAGCTAGCTATAACTCTCCATTAAATAGATTTGAATGTATCGAAATACCATGCCTATTTACAGACTTATAATGACAATTTAAGCTAGAAAATGTTATCCAATCTTTTCTATAAGACTCATCTAATTAATCAATTCATAACTCCAATCTTATATACTCAGTACAAAGTAAGAGATAAAATTAGTAATTTAATTTAATATTTTACATAGATTATATTTAAGTAGATAATAGTAATTTTATTTTACAATTTAAATTAAAACCTTACATATTAAGTTTAATTTATTCAACTTGAGAACAACCCTCGTGAGTCACTCACTATATGCAATTCAATTTTCAACTTGAGAACAACTTGTAGTTTCATCTTTTGAACTGATTGTACAGATGAATTTTCTTTCAAGTAAGATGTTTATTTAAAGATAGACCAAACAGGAACATTCACATGCCACCTATGTACTTGCCGTGTTTTGCGCAGCAATGGCCTGTCACTTCATGCCCTTCTCTTCTCCATCGTAATCAACCAGACTTTATTGTTGTTTATTATTATTGCTTTTCCACTGACTTTTTGTTCCTTGTGACGCGCAGTGCTCGCCGAAGCATTCCTTCTTGCTTCATCAACCTTCACGGCAGGAGTCACCTGCTCAATGGAGAGACCGCACGCGCAGCTTGCAGCCGCCTAAAGGAACCCTGCTCTTTATGGTTTCGTAAAGGAGAACAGTCTCCCACGTACAACCTGGACGGCAGTAAACCCACTGAGGCCGAGAGTTTAGGGATCCTCTTTATCTCTGTTCCTAGTGCCTACATTTCCCTTTAGAAATAAAAATAAAAATCTTTTATTCTTTTTCTCTAATGTCTCTCCACCTTTATACGGACTTTAGCATCGAGGAGGATGCTGTGACATGACCTAACTGAGTTGAAATCATAGTTGATCGGAGTACCATCAATTAATAGGCCAACAGTACGCCGCAGAATGCGATTCTATACTTGGTATCTGAGGAAGTATGACCTAAGAAACCCGTTTATTATCCCCGAAAATGAGGGACAGAACTGCAGGACCATTTGCTTCCTTTTGTTTGCTAGATTACAGTTTATATCAGTTCATTTGGGCTACAGATTCTTCGCACTTGGGTGGAAAGATTTCTTCCATCAAATCAGCTCCCGTAGAAAAGGAAAGAAAAAAAGGAAGAGGAATGCATTAATTATAGTACAACATCTCTTCCAGCTTTAAATGTGTGTCTGTGCTTGCACCTGCATCTTCCCACGTGCATGCGTACTTGGCGCAGGCAACTCGAGCAGCTTCAGTCGCTTACCGAAAAAGCTGTAAGCAGAGTCAGTCTACTTACAATCCCTGCAAGTAAAGACAACTCAGATAACGACGCATCACCAACACTGGGCAGCAGAGTCGAACCAAACAATGTCAGATTGCTACCAACCAGAAAAGATAAGCGTAAGGTGCCGGCTTCATCTCTGCTCTGCTTCCTTGCAATGGGGTAGCTCTCGAGTCATTTACCTGGACGATCAACACAAAAGAGAAGAAACAGCTAGAATGCATTGAGTTTACTACTGCATGTATCTACTACACCTTGAAGGCCTCGTTCTGCGGGTTCGTATCTCCTGAAGGCATGGCGTTATGTGGAGAGATGACACCGATCGAGACACACAACAACAGGGATGGACCACGGCTTCCATCCCTGTCCTCATCTTGTAGTTCTCGCCGCCCCGGCCATCTGCCGTTTGCCATACTAATATGAACCGGTGGCAGCAGTGGATACTGCCCGCAAGCAGCAATCGTGCTGCTCTCTCACGAGGAGTCCCGCCCACTACCACATCGGCCAACAATAAGAGGCAGTCATGCACGTCAGCATTTCCCCGTGTGTCAGCGTATCGCACTGGAAATGGGACCTGGATAAAGCTTGATTCGAGTCGAGGATGCCAACATGGTGCGACTGGAAATAGGCACGGGAAATGTGTGCAGCCTTATCGTGACACCTATAAAGCCAAACCTTTTCCCACCAACTTTAAAGGATCGGAGACGAAAGCATTCGAAGCCAGAAGGTCATGTGACTCACAGGACGTAAGAGGAAGGGACAGCATCCAGCCGATGCAGCCCCACCCCATTTCCGTGTCCCGAGACGTGTCGAAAGACTCGAGGACAGAGAAGAGGAGTGGGTATGCACTCAACAGCGAATGAGAATTAGAGGTACTGTGGCAACGTGGACTCCAGCCTGTGATGCAGTCGCGTACTGTTTCAGCTTTTGTGACCTGTCCTCTTTCAATCATTCAAGCGTACATCCAAAAGCCTATACGTTCTTGTCTTCTTCCCATGGGCTCTAATTGATCCAGCCTTTAAGACCCTGCTACGAGAGAGGAGGTTCGTCGCTGAGCATTCTATGATGAAGACAAGTAGAACAAACAGTCTATGATCTCATGCTATGTATGCATCTAAAAATCTCCTCACTTCATCACCTTGACAATCTCTACTTTGGTAATCAATCAATAGAGGGCTTACAAGAAGACATGGATTCTCTGCATCATCCGCTGACTTCTCTTACGAAAGAGAACAGAGATCATGCCGTCTGCTCTCTTGGGATCCATTGTAAGAACTAATGAGCAACGGAGAGAGCAGCACAGCAGATGGTGTTGGTGTTGCCATGTGAATTCACATGTCCTCTACATCACAAGTCCATATCCAAGACGTTCTTGACAAAGGGTTGGATCGATCTGATAAGTCCACCACTTCCCAAGTTTGAGATTCAGAAAATGTAGCAGCGAGCGAAACAGAAGCCAAGAACAGCTACCGACAGGTCGGGGTGGGAAGATTTCACTTTGGTGAAAGGCTGGAGTTATCGAAGCATGGGCACGAGCGAGGATTCCGAGGGCAGAAAAGGGCGCTCCTCGCCAAGAGCCAAACGCCAACCAGCTTGCTCCAATCGCCACTGATATATCATCAGAGATCAAGAATCCGAGAACTTGATTCATATCGTTATCATCTTTTTCTGTAAAGATATTTTACTCCATCTTTCTCTCTCTAGCAACAATATATCACAGATACATTATTTGATCTTCTCATGATTGATAGGAGACTAATCAATCAATCAATATTTAAAATCTTCTATCATAATTTTTGTTATATTTTCATTTTTTTAATTTCTTGAGTAAAGAAAATGAAATTTTTTATTGCATTCTTTTTATTTCTTGCCAATTTATGACATATACAAATAATTTTTATACTAATTAAAATTATTTAAATAAAATGATAGACTAAATTGGTTCCGTATCACATGATCGTTTTTGCAAACTCAAATTATCCCCCTGAAACAAATAGACAAAAATCTAAAAGTTAGAAAGAGAACCAAATGTAGCCCAAGAGTCGATCTCCACCATTATGTGGAGGCTATGACATTGTACACAGTGGTAACCAAAGTATATTGGCCCATCATAATCATGATAAGCTAAGATGGGCTCTAAAGAAGTTTAGAGCCATGACAGATTCAAACGGTCAGTAGTCCATGCATGCATGCTGGATAACAGAGCATGGCGGTTGTGGTCGGTAGCCATTCTACGTCGTTAACTGCTGAGACTTGGTCGTGCGAGGTTGAACGGTTCAAAGGGAAGATGACCCTATGGGAAGGGAAAGAGCCCACTTTTATCACACACACACACACACACACACACACACACACACACACACATATATATATATATATATATATATATATATATATAGAGAGAGAGAGAGAGAGAGAGAGAGAGAGAGAGGCTTGTTCTTTGTCTATGTTTGTTTCATTTGAGTTCATCTCTGCCCTTGCAATATTTCTTACCTCTCTTCTAGAATCCGTGCAGCTAGGTCGGTCCGCTATGCTTTAAAGCGTTGTTGAAATGTCTGCTACATGACTCGGCATGAGTTGACAGAGACGAAGAAACTGGTTTTCTTCGTCTCTCGTTCTTTATGGTCGCCGGCACTTAATTGTGCTGTCGTAAAGGAGTCGTAAAGGAGGCTGATGAAGCTTCTTAATTGTGCTGTTGATTTGTTTAGCAGCTCAAGAAAAGTGCGGCTTACTTCATGACATGGAATTGGTCAACCAGCCCACGTTCTAAACAAGAAGGTGAGGCCTGCTTCTTCTGGTGGAGGTGAAGACTACCATATATAGGAGGGATTACAATAGATATCGTTGCCCCCATGAGTTGGGAGGGGAAAGAGATGTGGTGATGTGTTGCATGAACTGCGAACATTTTCTATGCACATACGTGCATTATGTATGTTTATGTAAGATAAATGTTTCGGGTCCTGATTCAAATCACTAAACTCACAACGACACACCATGGTGGTATTTATACATCAAGAGGTCCATTACTGTTGTCGTCCGTCAAGTCGTGATTGGAATGGGGACGTAAACTCGCGCCTCGCCTACCTTAATTGTTAGCCATCTGGCTCTTATCGCATGGGGACGCAACGTGCCCCTGATACATGGGCGGCTCCCGTTTTAATACGCCGCTTCGTCTTCGCGAAGGAAACGGAACGGGTCCCAACGGTTACTTGGTCAACGATAGCCAGTCCGAGATTGCTCGCGCTGATACCATCATCCCTCGCTATTTAAACCCTAACCTCTCTCTCTCTCTCTCCAAACGCCGTCGGTAGCCTCGCTCCCCCGTCAACCTCACACCAAGCAATTGCCACCGCCTCTATTTCCGTCGGATGACGACCACCGCATCCACGGACGGGAGAGTCGACACCGATCCGAGGCTGCCGTCACCACGGCGCCGCGTGTGCTTCTCCTTCGCCGCCTACGCTAAGGCCGTCGTCGCCCACCTCCGCGCCTCCGGCGTTCCAGTCGCCCCCGGCCTCTCTGACGCCGAATTCGCCGCCGTCGAGTCTGCCTACGGCTTCAAATTCCCACCCGATATCCGCTCCGTCCTCTGCGAAGGCCTTCCCGTTGGCCCCGGATTTCCCAATTGGCGGTCAGCCTCGCCGCAGCAGCTCCGCCTGCTCCTCGGCCTCCCCGCCACCAGCATCCTCCACGAGGTCACCTCGGGGGGCTTCTGGCCCAGGGCATGGGGCCCGAGGCCACAGGACCCCAGCGTCGCAGTTGCCGCTGCTAAGGTCGTACTGCGCCGGGCCCCATCTCTCGTACCGATCTACCGGCACTTCTACATGCCCGCTTCGCCGAGCCTCCCTGGGAACCCGGTGTTCTACGTACGAGGCGGCGACGTCAGGCCTGCGGGACTCGACCTCGCGGACTTCTTTCAGCGCGAGCGGCCGCGGGGGTGGACGGCGGGTGCCCTGGCGCCGGCTTGGGTGGCGACGTCGGCCAGGACGGTGGAGGTTTGGACGGAGCTGTCGGAAGAGAAGGCGTGGCAGGAGCGGAAGCGGGGCGGCTCGCCGTGGGAGGTTAGGGTGGATGAGATGCTGAAGCAGGCGGGGCAGCGGCTGAGAGAAGGGGGATGGAGGGACGAGGAGGTGGGGGAGATGGTTTTGTGGGGATCAGACGGGTACGGGATTGGGGCGTTCGCCGCGGCTGACCCGGCGGCAGTGCTGAGAGACCAGGAGGGCGTGCTGCGTCAGCTGCAGCTGCTCTCCCTCGCGTTGCTTCGCAGCGGGTGGGGCGCCGACGACGTGGTCGAGTCAATGGGGTGGGCGCGCGTGGAGGGAAGCGAGGGCGATTACGGTGACATGGTATGTAGAGACACACATCCAGATGGCGCCACACCAGTGGACACGATTTAAATCGCAACGCAAAAACTGCGCTTCTCCCAACGCCATCAGAAAACATTGTGGGTGACGGTGATCCCGTGAACCGTGAAACCAGATCGGAATCTTTAGTGCCAAGAAATCGAAGGGGCTTTAATTACCTCCCAACACTTGCAATTACTCTACTTGTTCTGTATTATATTTCATAGAGCAACAAACATATATACATATACTGGCCATGGCACCCCGTAGCCTTTGGGATGCTGTTGTGACCTGCGGTCACTGATCACGTAAGAGAAAATGAAGATGGCAAAAAAACGTTAGGAATTGAAGCAGTCATGGCATTTGTGAACGCACATGTGCTGTTCTACTCGACATGGAAAATAAATGCCGCGGGCACGCGATTGATTCCCTTCACGGAAAAGGTTTGACAATCTATTGGCATGTGAGACAACAAAGTTCAGCTACCATTCGCATGGTCTTCATCTAGGATGAATTTGGATTATATATATATATATATATATATATATATATATATATATATATATATATATATATATATATATATATATATATATATATATATATATA